CAGGAAGGGCAATTGAAGGAAATTTCGAAATTGAATAACGATGTCGAGTAACGAATATTACCCCAATTATGGCTATGTTGGAGCTCCTGCAAATTATAATGGCACCGGAGCCAATGGTGGCGATAGTGGTATGTTTCCATCTCTTCTTCGAATCTTCGAGTGCCAAGTTGTACCCAATTGTACCCCCACAATTTACACATTCCGCATGCCTCTCTTATCTCAATTAGTTCAACAACCTCAATCCTCAACCCCGTCACAATGGAAGAACATCAACTAACACTCAATTCCCAAATTAGCCGTCGTAAATTTAAATCAATGGTTCGATCCGGGTGATCAAGCTTTTATCATCGTAGCATCATGTATGGTTCTACTCATGCCCCCCGGTCTGGGCTTTCTATACTCCGGTCTTGCACGTCGAAAGTCTGCGCTCTCGATGATATGGGCCTGTATGGGTGCCTTTTCCATAATAGTCTTCCAGTGGTACTTCTGGGGTTATTCTCTGGCTTTCAGTTCCACGGCTACGAATGGGTATATTGGAAATTTGAAACATTTCGGTTTGATGAACACCCTGGGTACGCCAAGTCCAGGAAGTCCTTTAATTCCTGAGTTGTTGTACAGTTTTTATCAGGTATGTGATTTTGGTCTAGGGTTTGCAGGAGAGCGAGGGCTAATGATTGGAATTCAGTTACAATTCTGCGCAACAACTGCCGCAATTGTCGTAGGAGCTGTCGCCGAACGAGGTCGTTTGGTTCCTATGATGGTATTCATATTCTTTTGGGCTACTATTGTGTACTGTCCAGTCGCATGCTGGGTATGGAATGTCAACGGTTGGGGATTCAAATACGGTGTTCTCGATTATGCGGGTGGTGGACCAGTCGAAATCGTCTCGGGTATGTCCGCGCTTGCATATTCGATGGTTTTGGGCAAGAGACAGGAAAAGATGATGTTGAATTTCAGACCACATAACGTGTCGTTGATCACCCTGGGTACCATTTTACTGTGGTTTGGATGGTTAGGATTCAACGGAGGAAGTGCTTTTGGAGCCAATTTGAGAGCTGTCATGGCCTGTTGGAATTCGTGCTTGGCAGCCATGTTTGGAAGTATTACCTGGTGTTTGTTGGATTGGAGACTCGCGAGAAAATGGTCAGTATTCTTTCATCCATTCTAAAAACGTTCAAGCTGATAGAAAATAGGTCCATGGTAGGTTGGTGCTCAGGCTGTATCTCTGGTCTTGTAGCCGCCACACCCACATCCGGATTCATTCCCCCTTGGGCCTCTGTCATCCTCGGCATTGTCACCGGTATCGTCTGCAATTACAGCACCAAAATTAAGTTCTGGATCCGCATTGACGACTCTATGGATGTGTTAGCTGAGCACGGCATGGCCGGCGTCGTCGGACTGATTTTCAACGCTTTGTTTGCTGCAGACTACATAATCGGTCTTGATGGTGTCAACACCGGAGTCATCACCGGCGGCTGGCTCAACCACAATTACAAGCAACTTTATATCCAAATTGCCTATATTGTCGCCTGTACCGCCTATTCCTTCGTCGTTTCCGCCCTTCTCGCTATCATCATAAACTATATTCCTGGTCTCCATCTCCGTGCTTCAGAAGAAGCTGAACTCCTTGGTATGGACGACGATCAACTCGGCGAATTCGCATACGATTACGTTGAGGTAAGACGTGATTACCTTGCCTGGACACCCGCAAAAGATGAACCAGAAAACGTGGAGAGTAACGTAAACCCCGAGGATCGTCACGGTATTCCAGAACACTCGGACATGATAACCGGACATTCAGATATGATTACGGGACATGCGCCGGGGAGCGGAAGAAACAGTGGAAGTGAAGCGGATACAAGGGCGGGAAATGCTCATACGATGATTATGGGTGACAGACACGGAATTGCGGCAACAGATAAAGAGAAGGCTGCTTTGGCGAGAGAGGCACAAAATAACTGAAAAGGGCTTCTGACACAAAATAAATAATATTGGGAGGGGTTTTTTTTTGGAATTCTTTGGATACGACACGATTGCTATATTGCGAGGAGTTGAGTGCGGGAAACTTGGTTATGAGATATCTATTTTCTTTTTCATGCATGTTTATGTTTTGGGATGATGAGTGGACCGGGGCAAGGAAAACATGTACTCCATATGGTTTGGTGGGTGGGATTATTTGATTCCCAAAATATTCGCGTGGATAGTGTTGAAACTTAAAAGAAGATTTTATTGTATATAGAATGGATGTAAGAGGGATGAACATATTATCAGACTACATACTTGTTGGTGTACAAAATTTTCAATCCTACCTATAATGAATGTGAACTCAAGAATAGGATGATGTGAAATCCGTATACATAGACCCGTTCTAGAACCCAAAATACACGAATTGCCAGGCATGTGAGTGGCTATAAAGATCTATTCAACGAGCTGCCGCCATCTACCATCCATCTAGTCTAGAATGCTGCTGAGAGACTAGTCTCGCTGGATTTCGGACTACCCATTGAAACTTGTCTTGCTTTCCGCAGCTTGGAGACGAACTCTCGAGAGATCCGAAATCTAGAAATAGCAACGACGTCAACAACTTAAATGGTTGACGTCAGTTTTAACATGTTTCCCCATCATGACATCACAATCACAATCGAAATCACATCCATCACACCCGTGCTGGTCTGCATATGATGCAAGTGATCGCGCGCATCGCACCTAGCAGGACGAAATCTCCGGTGGGAGTTTGGGGTGCATGTATGTATGGATGGATGGATGTGCATGGGACGGAGATTGGGGATGCATGGAAGGGAGGAGGGAAGGAGGGCAGGGAAGGGAAGGATATAAACAGGGATGTGGGATGTGGAGATAAGGATTTGGGAATGAGAGCAAGAATGGAGAGGAGAGAGATAAGGATTGCTGAGGGTGGTGATGCTGTGTGGTGTGGTGTGGTGCTGGTATAAAGTGTATGCATGCATGCTTATCAGTGAGAGGGGTGCAAGGCGGGTTGGGCCGGATAGATGGTGTGCGCACGGACTCGGGGATTTGATGCTTGGGAATTGGGGATTGGGAATTGGAAAGTGGTGATGGGTTCGATACGGAGATTGTGGGGAGATTGAGATGTGTAGGTAGCATGGATGGGAAGTTGAGAGCAGTGTCGATTCGAGACTGTTACTACGTGGAAGATTGATGGATGAGTTTTGGTGCTTGGGGATGTTGGCGGGGGCTGTGAATGCTTGGGGAGAGCTTGGGGAATCTTGGCTTGATAAGAGGATTTTTGGAGCTTTTGAACTGCGGTTGATTTGGATTGGAAGAGTCTATGACAGTTTTGATGATCATACGTGTGGCTGTGTTATCGGTAGGTGGTGAAAGTGTGGAAATAGGTTGAAGGTTGAAGGTTGATGTCAAGGTGATCTCGCTAAGCGCACCAAAAAGACTGCATACCACGGGCGAGTGTGGAATGATATTGAAATCCATATATCAATTGAGACAAAGTTTTAAATGTATTTAAACTCTAATGAAGCTCATATCTTGCTTTTTGGGTGGTACTGGCATAGAAATAGCTCAAATGACGTTAATTTTGATATCTTTTTGGGCGAGATATCGGCATGTTAATGGTCTGGCATTTGTACCATTTTTATAAACACTTGTGTTTCAGATCGATATGATTGGCGAGGAGATCAAACGATCGATGTGTAAATTTTAAAAGTCATGGTTCATTTGACTTTGTGGTAAAGATGCGAAAGAATGCGGTATATATATATTGATACTTGCGAACGCCCCCGAAGAAGAAAAATGTGGCACAAAATTCAGCTACGTACATTCCATGGGGATATCAATCCATAGTTCAAAAAATGTTTCATATACCCGAGATAGTGTACATTGCGATAATCTTGCGTACATGAGGAACTTCCTCGATATATTTCGCAAACGAGCACTGAAATAGACAGTAAGAAAGAGATGTTGAAAATAGGACGGAATATTAAACAAAACCTCCAAGAATTCGGATATTGAAATCTTGAGACACAACGCTAGTTGTATCTCTAAGCATGCTTCATCCAGTATTGAGTATTTGTAGAGACGAAAGACCCCTGTTCGTCGCATACATGCATCGTCTAATGCATACCTTACATCTAATCTAGTCATAGAAGTCCAGTAATTTGATCTCAAACCCGGACCGTATACACTCTGCAACTTCTCGGGAAGTTCCTTAGGTAGCCATCGGTGTTACTGATGGAACAGGCCAGTGTACACGAACAGCGGTGACAGTTTTGATAATGTAGGAAGGCTTGAGTGATTTTGACGAAACACTTGATATTGGCCGAGCTGAACTCATGATGTGCCCATAGTTTGTCATCATAAGAATTTAGAAATTTGGTATTGTATTATCTTTAGGAGTGACGGATTGCTTGTGACATGGACTTAGCACAAAGATTGTTGGTGGAAACTACCTTGTAGCATTGTGCATTCATAGTCGAAACCTTTCCTTCGATGCTGTTAAGCATGATAAGTTACGAAACCGCCACATCGTGATATCTGTTTGTTCTTTTTTGCCTCGGGGAAAGACATTGGACGCAAGTACCCGCTACCCATCAAGCTGGCATTGTGAGATCCCGACTGCTAGTAAAGTCCAAGTCGATGCAAACGGAATCTGAGTCGCTGATAGGCTTCTTTCGAGAGTATCCAACATGACTGGTTACACCACTGCCGTAAAAAAGCAAAAACGTATCTGCAAAAGACGCTGCCAGGCGGTACCCTTCAACCAATAATTTGATAGCACGAATAAGAAGAATTTGAATTCCAGCCAAAATTAAGCTCTTTGCGGGGTGTCACATGATGACGCTAAATGACGCGACAATTCGCGTTTGTTATCGCGATGTCGCAAAACATCAACATATTGCCTGTCTACTGTTGCACCCCAACAATTTTATAATCTTCATCGACTTTCCAAAGCGGAATTGACTTCAGATACCAATGGATCCACCAAAAACTCAGTACTATATTCACTCCTCATGACTCGACATAACCTTCAAAGTCATATTTCTTGGTTGATTAAAAACAAAGTTACTACCCCCGCCGGAGTTCAAATTCCTGCATTTGCAGATACGATTGAATCAGGATTCGCGAATTTGGAGAGTTTCGAAGGGGAAGGTACCGCGCAAGAAATAAACAATACGCCAATTGCTCCGATTCGAAATCGCCGGGTTGAAGAGATCTCCAATGTTGTGGCGAATTCACACCCACCTCATCCCCGTATACTTACTCCGATAACACAATCTATACCAGTGCCTGGGGATGAATTGGCAGATCCGGAAATGGGAAAACTCACATCAGCGCGAAAGACGAATAGGCCAAGTCTCATAAGTCAAAATCAACAACTTGGAACCCCTTCCTCCACGGCCAGTTCCTCCCTTACAAGAAGCTATAAGCTACAATGTAATGAAAATGGTATGTAAATGAAGGCGATTCAGTTTGGTTCATGAATTGATTTCATTAGGCACTCCTTCCAGACCCATATCTACAAGAGAACCGAGCGGTCTAACACCTCGTCCAACTCCTCGCCCAGCTCCGTTGCCGAAAAGCAGAGTCAATTTCGACAATGTGGAATCAATAGATTTGACCGGGGACGATCTGATGGGAGCTCCTATCGTAAATTCTTCTAGCACAGTGGAAGCCTTTGAAGATGCCTCTGTTACTTTGTGGGATGAGAGGTCAGCATCCAGACCAGAACCTTTAAAGAGGGCGAAGAAACGGAAGAGTGAGGAATTATCTATGTTACAGTCTCCCCGAAAGTCTAAGAAAGTACCGGTACACGTAACAGAACTGCAAGACGAACAACACGATTCGTTTATGGACATTGACGAACTGGAAATTCCAGGGCTATCATTTCGAGATATCCTTCCCGACTCTCAACAAACAATTGTCCCACGCAAAGCAGTAGAGGAATACCCTGATCTGGATTTATTGGAAGAGGTTGATATGGTCGAAGACATGATTTCTCAGGGCGAACGTGCGAAATCTAAGATTCGAAGCCGACAAAACTCGGAGAATATTGTTATGGACAGAAGACCAACACGAAGAACGACCCCTGTTCCCATGATCAGTTCTCGAAAACGTGTTACACCTCTTAAGGTGCGACATGTTTCGCCGATTCAAGTACAAGCGTCTCCTGCTATTGAAAGTCGGGAAAAGCGAGTAACAAGGACCCCGTCACCCCTCACACATCGTAGGCTTAAGAAAGAAATTTTTGACTCCGACGACGACGACATCCCGTCAGAGGTAGAGGCAAAGGTGAGCTGTTCGCCATGCCCACCATCGATAAAAGTATCGAATGGAATCCGTAGCACGCCAGAAAATCACACAATGCCCCAAATCCAAATGCACGAGAACAGTGAAGTAACTCCCGCCAAGAAGAGATTTACTAGCCCACTACAGTCGATATCACAAAATGCATCATTCCGTCAAGAGAACGAGCCATCTCCTTTCCAACGGGATTCTCCTACAAAGTATATGGCTTCACAGACTTTACCCCAACGAGGTTCGAGTCAGGCCTCAACAGTTTCTTTAGGCTTCGAAGAAAAAAGAATTGTGAGCTTGTATCTGAAGAATCCAACGGCACTTACACCTTTTCAGAAACATCTGGACAATCTTCTCAATCAGAATTTTGAGGCACTTCAAATCTATCTTGAGGATGGCGAGCATCCTCCGGCAGACATAGTAGCTGAGCGAAAATCTATGCTGGACCAGAAGAAGGCCTTCGAAGCTCTCGCGGAGAATTTGCAAGGACTTCAGGATCTCGCTTCAAAAACAACTGCTGCTTTACAAAGTTTATATATCCAAGGTGAAGATAATGGAGAGTCTGAGGTGCTGACTAGTGAACTTTTGGAGAAAAAGAAAGAATGTTGGCGTCTACTCGATGCTTCTGGCGCAATAAACTACGGTTTCGGGGCTGTCCCGTCTACAAGGACTCCGCTTTCCACCCATACTTCAAGTGCGGGTGCAGGTGGACAAGTCGTTCTACAGACCCAGATTCCGTCTCTTTCACATCAATCATCAGGCGCAACGAGATGCTCTACGCAAGAGCGCACACCATCTAACTATCAGAATCCTGGTAAGTCAAGGGAACAAGAGCCTCGTCTTGCTCCACCATCTTCTATGAGACATACGTCGCCTGCCAGATCAATGATTCCTGCCAGTAACTACTCGAGGCCTGATAATTTTGTGAAAAGGCCGGACTTTTATAGAGAGCCTTCCCCGACGGACTACGATTATGACGAGGACCTTATCAAAATGCTTGAAGACCAGGAAGATTTTGCGAAAAGGACTAAAGTAGCTGATGAGCAATTTGAGGAGAATGTGGCAGAGGCAGAGGAAGATTATGGGGATTTCGATGATGATGACGATGAAGCTATTCTTGATTTGACACATCAAATTGAGCAAAGTAACTCTTTCAAGCCATCTTCCACGAAATTATCTCTCAACGCATCTTTTCAAGATTCATCACGAGACTCATCGAGAAGTTCAAAGCGTGGTAGCCTGAAGTCAGACAAACCAAGAGATATGTATTCAGTTGTGGACTCTTCTCGGGCAGATATGTACAGTTATGCGTGGTCTAATGATGTCAAAAAGGCACTAAAGGATCGTTTTCGCTTAAAAGGCTTTCGACACAACCAGCTGGAAGCAATTAATGCTACCCTAGCTGGGCGTGATGCATTCATATTGATGCCAACTGGTGGCGGAAAATCCCTGTGTTATCAATTGCCTGCAATTGTACAATCGGGCAAAACGAAGGGTGTTACAATTGTGGTTTCTCCTCTTTTGGCGCTTATGCATGATCAGGTAGATCACCTCCACAAACTTCGCATTCAAGCATATCTGTTCAATAGTGAATCAACTCAGGAGACAAGACAACAATTGTTCAATGGTTTAAACGAAAGAAAGCCAGAGCAATTTGTCGAGTTGCTATACGTCACTCCAGAGATGATTAACAAAAGCAATGCTATCCAATCGAAATTGGATGATCTCTATGCCAAGAAAAGACTTGCTCGTATTGTCATAGACGAGGCTCACTGTGTGAGTCAATGGGGTCATGACTTTCGACCAGACTATAAAAACCTTCACGAGCTTCGCGAGAGATATCCCGGCGTGCCATTCATTGCATTGACTGCGACTGCAACAGAAAGAGTAAAGAAGGATGTGATCCACAACCTTGGTATGCAAAACTGTGAGCAGTTAAAGCAAAGTTTCAATCGACCTAATATCTACTATGAGGTTCGACGTAAAACAGGTAAAGGATCAACGGCAGCGATGTTTAGCGAGATAACCAAAATGCTTTCTGTCGACTACAAAAACCAGAGCGGAATCATATACTGCCTCTCTCGTGACAATTGCGAAGAGGTGGCTAAAAAGCTGCGGGAACAAGGGATCAGAGCACATCATTTCCATGCTCATATGACGCCCGAAGAAAAGAAGATACCCAACACAAGTGGCAAATAGGAAGCATCCAAGTCGTGGTCGCAACGATTGCCTTTGGTATGGGTATTGACAAACAAAATGTGAGATTTGTCATCCACTATTGCCTTCCCAAAACGTTGGAAGGCTATTACCAAGAAACTGGTCGAGCTGGTCGAGATGGCAAACCGGCTGCGTGTTTCCTCTACTATGGGTTTCAAGATAGTCAAATCTATAAAAAGATGATTGAGAAGGGGGAAGGTGGTCCAGATGTCAAAAACGAGCAGCGTCAAATGTTGGAAGCTATGGTGCGATTTTGTGATAACCGCATTGATTGTCGCCGAGTGCAACTACTGCGATACTTTGGCGAGACCTTCAAGAGGGAAGATTGTGGTAATTGTGATACATGCAATTCCAATGACACTTACGAAGAGCGCGATTTCAGTAGCGAGGCCCGGAAAGTCATCAGTCTCGTTAGTAAAGTTCAAGGCAATTTTGCTATTGGTCATTTCTCAGCTGTATTGGAAGGCAAGGCATTAGCAAAGATCAAATCCGAAAACCATCACGAACTTGATGAGTTTGGCTCACTAAAAGATATGGGGAAGATGGAGATTGAACGACTCATTGAGAAGCTCATCCAGTTTGGAGGTCTGCAGTTCCGCGCCATTAAGAACAGGGGTGGATTTCATAATGACTTTGTTTTTGTAAGATAACTTCCCTTCTACAATGTGCAAACACTAATCACTCCTCTAGCTTGGTCCAAAACATAGGCAATACATGTCCAAAAACTTAAGGCTTCCCCTGCAAACTAGAATATCGACGTCGCCTGCCGCAGCTTCACGCAAGAGCATAAAGAGCAAAGCCAAAAAGCAAGCACCGCCACCGTCTACATTACTTACCTCGCCAATAACTCAAAGTCAAACCCGCTATAGTAGAAAAGGCAAAGAACGACACATTGAAGATGAAGATATAAGTGATGACGATTTTCATCCAAGCACCTACCCACAACACGACCCTCCTGCTTCCGACAGTGTTGAAAGCTCAGAGGTGGAGGATTACTTCGAGCCGACGAGGGGAAGTAGCAGAACAATGCGCGGCAATAGACAAACCAGTCGCATTGGGCCACCCATCACGGTCGATGAGGAAATGGAGAGGTTAGATCCAGTACATCAAGAGGTTGTGATTGCTTTCGTTCGGGACGCTAAGATGTTGGAAGAAGCTCTCAGAAACAAGAACAATCACAGGAAGCCCTATTTCACAGAGGTCGAGTTCAGACGGATGGCAATTCGCTGGACAACAGATACCACTCTGATGTCACAAATACCTGGAATTGACGAAAATAATGTAGCTTCGTATGGCAAGCGATTTTTGAAGTTGTTAGAGGAGAGAAGATTGCATTATAACGAGATGATGGATCCACATTTCAAGCCAGATAAGAACCATCTAATAGTAAACTTGGTGAGCGAAGATGACGAGAGTGGAATGGAAGATGAATACGGAGACCAATCGGAAGAGCCGTCCCCGTACTTTCAGATCGATCCAGCAGTGCAAGCATTCAATGAGCGAATGGAAATGGCAGCCCAAGTTCCAAGGACCCAGCCAACACAAGCTGAATCATCGAAAAAATCATATCAACAAGGCTCTAATGGTAACAAGTCAAAACCTCGATTTAACAGCAGGCGAAAAGGTGGTGGTTCGACCTCAAGTAGGGCAGGGTCAAGCAGTGGTGTTACAAAGAAGCGAGCACCTGCGAGCAGCAGAAAAACTAGCACGGCACCGAAGGGGTCAATAATGGCTCAGTATGGGAGAAGTGGTGGTGGTGGTAGTAGCGGTAGTGGGATAAATCCCATGCCGACATGAAGCAGGGTATTGATTTCTTGAGAATTTTCTTTCATTTCTTTACTTTCAATCACGGCTTTATATGCATGTGTATAGGGATAGGTTCGGAGTTCTAGGAGCTTGGGTTCGAATTGCTTTTCAGCATAGCGGCTAGCATTTTGGGGGATTTCTGGCTGGGGCTTGGCTGGGTTTACGACATATATGAAAGAGTTATAGATTAATGATGGTTTGATAAATATTGTTATTAATTATGCCCAAGAACTTTCCTGGGGTGGTTCTAATGAGTTCGGGTGAATGGAGATGCGATTGGCATATCGTAGCATAGCATAGCTTGAAGAGTTATAGCAATGTTAGATATATGTTCAATGCATCAGAGGTCAATTTAGTGTCGAAGTAACGCGAAGTTCCTTGACGTCTCTTCTCATTCATCCTGGGAAATTCACGTCTAGCATACTGTGTATTTGCTGAAGCCTCTGTTACTTCTAATATCTCTTTCTCTTATTCTGCATGAGGAAACTTACTATTATAGGATTGATTGTGTGATTCCCATGCATGTGCTTGAGCCTAGAGAAGCCATTCGAAGTACATTCATGGAAATTTGGATTGGGATGGGAGGAGATGAGATGAGACATCTGTAGTTGGTAGGTAAATAGGTGGATAGGTAGCGAGGAAGTAGCGAACCGATATCAGACGCGCGATCCCGTCGGTATCTAAATTTACCGAATGAGAATGAAAATGTGGTGATTGGTGATTGGTGGGCTGTGTGGGTTGTGTACTTGGTACGAATTGATACTTGATAGGAGGTGAGTTGAGATTTATGGGGTGGGTATGGGTATGGGTACGAGATAGGTATGAGTGTAGGTATGAATTGGAATGGAATTTGCACATGTAAATATGCACACACACATAAACAAACCCCTCACTCACCAGTCCACACATGATACATAATACATAATACATAATACATAATACATAATACATAAAATCTACCTACCTCCCTAGGCATATAACACAATCTCAGCCCTAGTATAATCACAAATCAACATGGGTGTATCCATATAATAAACATGAGAAGTAAAAGGGACGCGAGCCGGAGAAATACCCTGGATGGTATCGTGGTGTGGTGTGGCTGGTGTGTGCTAGCTGGTGTGATGTGATGTTAGTGAGTGAGGTTGATTTATGTTTGTAACTTGTATTGGAGATGGAATTGGATTGGAGATGTGTGCATGTTGTGTTATATCATATTGTGTTTTATTTTGTGTCTCCGGTTTGTGTTTGTGATTGTGATTGAAGAGTAGATGCAAACAGTGATCATATTGCATATCTCTTTTCGAGATTGTGGGTTTCTAAATCGGGGGGAGGAGTGCGGATTAAGATATACTGAATCGGATGGGTTAGTTTGTCTGAGATGTCGAATTAGAGATTTATGCTTATATCAGTGGATGCTAGGACTGAACTGGGTATGTTTGTGACATTGTGATCAACATGATGCAAGATATTGTGACGGTGTTACGATGGACTCGGGTTGATTTGATTTGATTCAATTTGATATGCATTGAGTAGGGGATGGTATGACAAGAATTAAAAGGGGTTGGTAATTCCATTGGTTTGGTGGAATGGGAATGGAAATGGAAATGGGAATGGAATAGGAGATTGGATGTGTACCTACCTATTGCATTTTGAGGTTCTACACACGTGTGCGTGTCTCGCAGTACGGCATTTTTATATGTAAAGAAAATTGGTATAGTAGCTTGGATGGAGATTAATAGACACCGTGGATACTACAACACTACGATGATGGTTTGGGGAAAGCAGATTGTTTCTTGGTTTCTCGCTGCCCATGAGGTGGAGGTTATAGTATAGTATTGTATAAAGTACGAATACGAGGAAGATGCAATGCCGCAGGGGTTTATATACAAGCCGAGTCTGCTTCGGAGTTGTTTGTGAGTGCCACTGAATGCTCACTGGATGCAATTCAGATGAGAATGACGAGTGTGGGTGAAATAACAAAGGCGAGATTGAGAAAGACAGGAAGAGTAATTGGCCATGAAGGGGAAAAAAACTCGGAATAACCGTGCAGTGCAGATATCTCGAGGATTATTTCAAGGTCGTGTACCTACCTTGATAAGGATGAAATCTGAAGCCCCTTGCCGAACACCTTAGAAACAACGTTGCAGAGATTCCGGAATCTGGGTGGATGGATTGGATCTAGGAACGATATTGGTTGAGTAGGTAGGTAGCTATCAAAGCAAGGAATGAAAATTTGAGATTTCATGAAGAGTTTTCCCTGTCCCATCTTGGCTTTGTTGATAATGGGTACACAATATGACAACGAGGAAGACCCGATTTGTTCCACTGGATTCATTCGATTCACTAGAACGTGTGAATTGGATATGTGATACCTAGCATTCTTCATCATGAGACCTTGTGTTGAGCCTCACTTGAGGTTTAGCTGAAAGGTAGTTTATTGTGAGGGTGCGGATTGTGGGATTTGATTGGTTGTTTGGGTGTGGGTGTTAGCCGCTGGGAAAATTAGAGTGCAGTGATATGTGGAAGATTAACAATACCTGGGTAAGGCAATGGAGGATATTCAATGGAGATGGAAGATGTGAGGTGTGATTGATAATGTTTCATATGTGATTGTGGCTAATCGTTACCTTCTTCTGTGAAGATTGGCATAGCCTGGACTTCAATGGCCGTCGACCAATAGAAGATTATGGATACATCTGCAATGCGTACTAACGGCACTGCCGTTGAGCGTTGTAGAAAATACCTAGATGCAGTATGCTCTATTCCTGTCCTGTATGTTGAATATCATTTTTACATACATATATATTATATACATACATGTGCATGCCTAGGTAGGTAGGTACATATACTACGACGTCCTTGGAAGCATTGATCGCCTGTGCCTTGAACGGTGTCTCCGCATCAACGTCAGTATTAAAATATCTTCCTGAACCTAACTCTCCACCCATGTTTCAAAGCGTCATTCAGGGGAAGATACCAAATCTTTGTCTTGGAAGTATATTGGTGTGGTAGGAAGGGTTTTCAACTTCTCTACCTGAGTAATTAATGGCACCATCCCCTCCCTTTTGAATCAACGAATTGGTTCACGTTACCGGTAATTTGTGAATCACACCGCCTTTGCTCAGATTATTACTTCGTACAGTGTCTTTGGGTGGTTATGCTTGGCTCGCCGTCAACTATACCCCTACTTGATGGTGGGTGGATTGAAGGCGTGCAGATTGACTGGGTTTTATGTGCAACTACTACACTTAAGCCTTGGGGGTTCGATAGTGTAAAGTCGCCTATCAATTGGCGATAAAGGGATTGCGAAAGAACCGTGAGATTCTAGTCTTATATCAATGCATTCGCAAAGTTAGTTGATTCGAGAGAATTCAACGATGGATTTTTGACTTTTTCGAAAGAGTGTGTGAACGCATACTAAATATTGGAAATTGGGGGCGAGAAATGTAAAAAGCTAATATAGACTCGCGCTGTGTTGAGCAACTATTGACTTCAATTTGACAGTACTCCAGTAGCATGGGGCTAAATTGTCAATGAGCTTTCCTTGTGGCGGAAAATAAAACTTGGGGTTTGTTTCTCACGTTTCGGAGACGTTTCTACAGACGCTGTGGGTGCCATCATTACCGTATAGAAGAAGGGTATTTATCATGGATAAATGCATTATGTGTGTATATAGGTATAATCTTCATTAAAGTTACTTTGCATGAATTTGTCCCCGGAATCCACGGCCTGCTGACAGGACATCTTTTTTAGTAGCGAACGTATCAACGAATATGTCGTTTTATATTTATCTAGATACCCAGCCAGGTAGGAACTCAGGCTCTCTCAAGTACCGAAGCATTGACCCTCGTTCCCAAATACGAAGAGATTTTATACGGAGTATACCATCATGACTCAACTTGTGAAACTATTTTGTTTTTCATATCCTTCTTTTGACAAATGGGAAGAGGGAGTTTTCTAATTGATTAGCCCCAAGCTGACCGACCGTATGTCTGTGCATGGAAGGGGTGACACGGGTTGCAGAAGACGCTGTGAACTTGAGGCTTGGGGGGTTATTTTAGATTTGATAAGATCTGAGGGGTAAATGGAGGAGGGGAAGAAGGGAGGGACATCAAAACTTGGGGGAAGAGGGGGAAGGGAGAGAGATGGGGGGGGGGGGTGTTATGAAGTGATGTATGTTTGTCATATCAATACGAAAACTAATAACGAAAAGCGAATTTGGAAAATTAACCTGGAAAGGGAAGGAAAAAGTAAGGTTTCAATAATTCAGTAGACTCATTCTTCTTCACCTATTCTTTCCTTCTGTAAAGCCAGGCCCCCAGTTCAGAGAAATCAAGAGTGGATTGGTTGGTTGGTTGATAAGACCTGCATGTGTATATGTATGTAGGTATGCATGTATTGTGATATGTACTGGGTACCTGCACCAAGTTCCTCCTGCTGCATTGCATACATATTAAGAAGTATTGAAGAAATTATTTTGGGGGTAGTGAGGAGCTGGAGTTACTTTTGAGTAATGTTCAAAGTGTGAGTGAGTGATGCTGTTCCTCAATTACTTTGTATATCGTATTGATGTTGAGTAGTTAGTAGGTATAGGTATTATTAGTACTTCGTGTGTGTGTCGCAGTCGGGTATAGAATTACCTATAGACTTACTTAGTAGAGAATAGCCGAAGTGATGAAGGGGTATTGGAATTGGGGTCTATTGGTATCGAAAGTTGTTGTATTTATGGTAAGACTTTACATCATATATATCATCTGTTAGTAATCCATTCAATACACATCTACCATTCGAAAGCCATTCGAGCCATTTGGACCACTCAAGCCTTTCTAACTTCATTCTTCACTTCCAGATAAGCTCCAATACTACCCAGGTACCCACGCTGCCAGGTCCAGGGGAGAGAGAGCTAAAGGTAAAAGAAATTCGAACTAATTATACTAAATAAAAGGGCTCTCTCAGCTTATATTCTGTACTCCATTCGGACACTTGCCTTA